GGTTTTCAGGGTTTGTGTTCTGCAACTTTGTACCTTGGTATTAAATAAAAACCACTCTTTACTATCTTAATTCGCAGAACTCTGCCCTGGTTCATTCACCAGTGGAACCTGGTTCACAGGAAGGTTAGCAAAACCTACAACACTGCTGAGTTAACACCTCAGTAATTAAGACTCCTGTGAACAAGATTCACAGAATTATGAGGGTGGTGAGACACTGGCAGAGGTTGTCCAGGGAGGTAGTAGAAGCCCCAGCCCTGGCAGTGTTCAAAGCCAGGTCGGATGAAGCCTTGAGCAGCCTGGTCTAGTGGGGAGGTGTCCCTGCCCATGGCAGGGGTGGGTTGGGACTAGATGATCTCTAAAGTCCATTCCAACACCTAAAATTCTATGATTCTTTGTACAGTTGTGGCAGTGCCCAAAAATGAGCTTTTTCTCCATTTGCTTAATTGATTCCGTATGACACTTTAAGTACGGAAGTATGTTCTGTATTTCAAAATGAAACATACACTCACGAGTTTTCTGATATCACAGTCATATTTTCACCTGGACTGGGAGCCATCCAAAGGTATCCTTGAAATACAAAGATCTCTGATCTCTTCTAAAAGCTAAGGCGTTTTCTGTGTTTAACCGGTCCAATTCTTCTTGATTATTCACCACAAAAATCTGGGGCACAGAAAAAGAGGTGATTGGTAACCTTCTCAAGAATTTTTTTGGACTGTCTGAGAATCTACTTTTACCAACTGACGTATGTATCTGCAAATAGGTAAATAATTACACAGAAAAAAGGTTGGGTTGTCTTCAAAAACAGGGTGGTGTGAGAACTTATACCCATGGACTGCCAGATCACAAGAGGCTCCTGGTAAGAAGGGATATGAGTTTCCCCAAGCACCTAGCTGTGGCTCCAATGGCCCCCCTCCAATGGCCCAAAATGCACTTCCACAGGTAAAGATCATGTAAATACTGGTGCATAATCATTGCTTAAAAGAGCTGTCATGTGCTCAAATGATTAGATGCTTGAACAATTGCAAAATCCATACAGGCATGAGTGCTTTTTGTGGGTTTGTCTATAACATTTTTAGGTATGCTCATGGCTACAAAATCAATAATGCATAGCTTAATGCAACCTTCACTTATCTTTTACTACTTTGTACTTTGTTTAGATTTAATTGACATTAAAATGCATGTTTCTTTATATGCATATACTCTGGTCTAAAGCCAAGTCTCCAATTAAACAGAAAAAAAAAAAGTTCGAAATTGAAAAAGTAGGACAAGCTCCTCTCTTACCCATTTTTTAATGTCTCAGCCACTGAAATTGGCTGTAAGGGGCATTAGGAAATAATCTCTTCCTTCAGCAGCTTAATCAATTTAATTTTAGCAAGATTCAAACAATTTTTAAATTAAGAAAAAGCAAATGGAGTGCTTCTGAGCAAAATGGATTTAGGGCTGAGCCTGATTCCCACCAGCATTAAAAAAATTGGCTTTTTTTAAAACAAATTACCCTGAATTTTTTACATAGCAGAATATTCCCATAGCCCTGGACAAAGGCCAATTTCATTAAAGAGGCATTGAATAAAAATGCCTTCAGCTTGAATGAAAGAAAGCAAAGAAAGAGGAAGCCAGCAAAGAACTGATTCTGTAATTGTGTTCAGGAGCTCAAGGCCCAGGCCCAGAGCCCCAATTTCTCTTGAAATCAATAGCAGATCTGTGCTTTCTGAAACTCTGCTACAGATGCTGGCCTTTGAAATTGCAGAAAGATTTAAAAAAAGGAATGAATCTTAGCCAGTGATGGAAAAACAGCACTTTGTTTCTCAGCCTCTCCCCTGCTCTGGCAGTGCTGGCACTGGAGGAGCTGGTGGGTATGTGGGTGGCAGCTGAGGATGAGCTGCAGTTGGATGCTGGTTTGGTAAACCACACAACACCAGGGACAGGGCACAGAGCACTGTCTCTGGGTCTTTTTCATGTCCAGCTATAGAAACCCCACCAGTTTTCAAGTGGTACAAGGCAGGCTTCAAAGCTGCTACACTGGGGTCTGAACAGAATAAATAATAGCAGTGTTCAAGCTCCTGCTCTGTACACTCAAGGGATTAAAACAAATGGGGCAGGCAAAAGGGGAGTGCTGCTCTACAAGTGCTCCCCTTCCAGAGCTGAGCCTTGCCTCTTTGCCATCTTGCCTTCCTGAGAACAAAATGGCACTTCATCATCAAGTGAGGGCTCATAGCGATAGCGTACGGTACTTATATCTTAGGTAGTTACACTCTCATTACTGTCTTTAAGATCTAATATGAACCTATAAGTAATAAGTAATAAGGTAAGTAGGTAATAAGACCTACACAGAATATTGTGAGACTATGAGCTCCTATGAGTTCTCCACGCTGTGAAGTACATGGCTTTGATGCCATAGCATGCAGTGTCGTGGGACATACACCTTTATTTCAGCATTTTCTTCTCTCACCGTTATGTTTTAAAAACAACAGGACACTTTTTCTTTGTAATGCAACACAGACTGGGAGGAGGAAGCAGTTGACAAGGATTGCAACACACATGCAGATTAGTGGGTTCGATGACCCAGTTTAATGCAGTGTTGTATGTTCCTTTCACACACTGTAACAGCTTCCTGACAACGTGACAGATGGGAATGTTAACAGACCTAATTGCTGCTGATTGATGTTCAGAGACAATCAGGCACTGCAGTTTCCACTTGCACGAGTGGAGTGGCTGGAATATGCTGGTACACAGCAGCAAGGTAGCATCTTCATTGCTCACTAAGTGCTACAATGCACAGAATAATAATGCACGGCCCAACAAAAGCAAAAGTACATAAATAGTATTTACAAAGCCCAAAAGATATCAGACAAAAAATTGCTAGGTCACTTTCTGCCAGTGACCTGTCCTTTAAAGCATTTTGTCCAATTTGCTCATAAAAATGCTTTCAAGGCCAGAGATAAAAATTAGCTATATAAACAGTTTGTCTACAGAAAGGAGCTCAGAAGCCTGACTCCCATGTTTTGTAGAAACTCCTGTTTGGTTCAAGGTACAGGGCCTATGCTTTGGGAGAAAGTTCTACCATATATGTAAAATGTTTGACCCCAATATTCAATTCTGAAATCACCACTTTTGCAGAAGAAGATATTTTTTTAAAAAAGCAAGAAAAAGATGCTTACTTCACTGACCAATCTGAAATACATCTTGATTTAATGAAATAAAAAGAACAAATCATATATGTATAGTGGGAGATGAAAGAGAGCATCCTCAGGCTTGAAAAAAGGTTTCTAAACACATGCTACCTTAGTGATGGTTTGAAACAGCTGCATTTCAGCACACTGATCACACAACACTTAGACTAGTTATGAGACCAAACTTTTTTTGCACCAACGGGATCTCAGAGATTTTGGATACCAGAAATAACACATTGCCCACACACAGACATATAAAATATTAGTGAGTAAACCACCTCTTGTAATAAAAGCACTTAAGAACCGCTCACATCCCCTCCCAGAAATTCTGCTTACGGCAGGAACTTTTGGATAGCTGTGTCCAAACAGAGATTCTTCATATGAGGGGTTACTCATATGTTGTGGTGTTCTGCAGAGACATCTCCCTGGAGGCCCTGGAAGTCCTCGTTCTCCCTTTGGTCCTATTGCAAATTGCCCTAGGAAGCAAAGTACCGGTTTGCTTTGTTATGAAGTTAATACATGAAACACAAAAACAGCCTTAGTGGGAAAAGTACAGGTCAGGTGGATAAATGCATTCACCCAAGTTTTCAGCTATAGACATCTCCCAGCAAATCCACTGGGAACTGAGGAGAACGATTACCAGGAATACCTGTTCCAGTACACCAGGAGAAAGACTCCAGTTTGTACCACAGTCATATTATTTCAGATTGCCTCTCAAATTTTTCTACAAACTTTACAGAGGAATCATTTGCTTAGAATAAATGTCAGCCTGTTTGAAGCTACAGAAATTCAGGACAGGATGAACACACAGAAAACTCTACAGCACCTATGCACCAAGTTTTGTAGTATCTGTCTCTGTATACATTCACAACACATCAGACTTGTGCATTTGTATAACCACTTGAGAATGCTGGTTTCTGTACGAGAAAACCCATTAGGAACAGAGGAGTTTTACAATCAAACATTCAAAAAAACCCAACTGATTTTTGACTTTCAAACTTCACCAAGGATGCAGTGCTCTGCAGAACTGGACTATGAGCCAACATGTTCATATTGAAAGCAGTGACATCATTACAGAAATGTCTTTTAGGAACAGAATTTATATTCTAGAGGGAAAAGATTAACAAGCCTGACACATAAACTTTCTGTGGATGGAATAAAGCCTTTAAAAAACAATCTCAAGATCCTGGCTGCCTTTCCATCAGCACAGTGAAAATTCTGTCCTCTGAAAACTTCCAGCTAATTTACTCAAGCAAATATGTTTCATGATGGGAGACATGAGACATAGATGAAGACTCTGAAGCTATGGCCAGCTTCACAGGAGAACCATTTCCATGCCACCACAAGAAGAAGCCTCCTGTCCACAGATGCAAGCAAGAGAAGAAATAGGGAAAGCAAAATGGAAGGGGATATTGAACAGATCGACTGTAGCACAAGCAGCTGCTGTACATTTGAAGCAACAGTAGCTTCCAGCTGGTTTTGCTTTTCTTTGCAGATACTTTAGTATATACCAGGGATGAGAAAACCCCTCCTGAGGATTCACTGTCACTGTGCATTGTGGGTCACATATTGTCACGTGTTGGACACGTATTCATGTCTGTGCTTAGTCTCACAAGCTGCCCAGGGTTCATGTGCATGCCCAGCTTTGAAGCTGTACAATTATCAGTTACAAGATTTTTCTCATGATTTCTACAACATGCACAAATGCAGTAAGCAGAGGTCTCAAGCACTTTTTTATAGAGTTTTCTCCACTGCTCTTTTTTTTCCTCTGACTCCTATCCCTTTCCCTTCTCTTCCCTTCTTTCCTTAATGCCACTGTGACTTAAGTCTCATCTGTTTTTTCTCTTACAGAGCTGCACAGGGTGAGCATGTCCTGGCTGATTAGAAATCAGTCTTTCACTGTAAGCCAGGATATATAGAGAGGCAGCAGATCTTTGATGATGGAGATTACCTAGTCTCTCCAAGCCTGCCATATGGCTTCTCATCAGCCCCATCTACCCAAATCCCACAGGAACCACATAGGTTTTACTTTTGGTTTTGTTTGAAATATCAGAAGCCACAATGTAGGCTTTAAAGTAAGGTGTAGAGTCCTTAAAATGGACAAGGATGACATGACCTGCCTTCAGGAGAAATCCTCTCTTTGCCTCCATGGAGGAGCACTTTTTGCAGAGGGGCCTATGTGTACAGGGTGAGTTCCCAGGGGCTGGGGAACAGGGACACTCTTTAGGAGATGACCTCATCTTCTGCTTACCTAATCCTGAAGGTCCAGGGGGGCCTGGCTGGCCAGTAGGACCAGGCCTTCCAGGTGGACCCATGACACCCGCAGGTCCAATGTCTCCCTTTAGACCCTAGGAGAGAGGACACATCCATTTATTTGCTAAAATACTAATAGCACACAAGCTCTTCCAGCCAGCACTGACTTCCCTTTCAAGAAATGCAAGATATTTTCCAATAGAAGCATGCAGCATGAGCTTCACAGTCGCAGCTCCAGGGAGGAGGTGCTCTCCTACATAGAGATGGAAAGGCATGCCCAGGCAGGAATTCTGCTCCCAAATGTGAACAGTCACAGGGATCTGCTCTGAGGAGTCAGGAATCACCCTGCTCTGACTTCAAAAATTTCATAGCCTGTCTTTAAGAATGCCTTTTTACCCCTAGTAGCTCTCTAGGAGTCAGTGCAGCCCAGAAAGAAAGAGGAAAATCACCAAGGAGTTGTCAAGGGCTTCCACAGTTACATTTCCAAGTCTCAGGGTGCAGTTTTTCAGTAGCACACTAAAGACTTTGAAGCCCACAGTATTTTCAGAAGTGCTTTAGATGCCTGGACTCCTGTATCTCCTTGACTTTTGCCATGGGATATTTATGTTAACAAATCATTGCACGGCAAGCAAGGGCTTGGCTTTACAAAGTGCAAGCTAGAGTGTTGCCACACCATGCTGACAAATGATGTCCCTCTGGTACCCTGTCAAGAAGTCAAAATGCTATAAAATTACCTATGGGAGAGGAGTTCACACACAGTTACTATACAATAGCTAATATGCTGTAAAATCAGCCCTAATTGACCTCATGGGAGCTTGTTTGTGCAACCATACCCTTAGGCATTTGGAAGTTTCACCCTAGAGCAGTTCAGCACCTTCCTATTTTTGCTCATGAATTTAATATGGTGACACTTATTAAAAATAACTATATTTATCTTCCTGCTCATGTACTCTCCAAGGTTTGGATTTCCCAGCTTTATATTTCAGAAGTGTACTACGTAGCTAAAAGTTTAAGTATCTGATTTGACTTTTATGTAACAGCATACATTATTTAGCATAATGAAAATTATGTGTACTGTGCAAGATTTCTTTAGTGACAAAGGAGATGATTTCCTTGAAGACAGTAATTCCAGGTTAATGTGCATTCAGAGGTGTATGTTGAATGGTTGCATGTCTAATTTAAGAGTAATGAATCATATATAGTGATATATGCTAAAACGATTGTTATGTTATATCCCATGGATACATTTGAATGTCACTTGCACCATTTCAGCTGAGGAAGACTGATTTTGCCATGGCCCATAAAGAACTAACTGAATATTTGCTTTGTTTAATCCTGTTAGGTAAGATCTGTGCCATCAAAATATTCCAGGATTTATGTGAATGTCAGCAATGCTGATATCTAATTACTTCTTACATTATGCAACACAGAACTAGCAGACCAAGATTTTGTAACCCCAAAGAAGACTGTGGGAAATCTCTTTCCCACACAACAGCAATCTGGCAGAGGCAAGCCAGCGCCAGTCAGAAGTGTGTGCCTGAAAACGAGCTGTTTTCTGTGTCTCCTGGTTTGGAGGAATGATTGCTTAATGCTCCCCTGCTTTGCCCACAGAGTTTAAATAATAATGGCAGGGATTTGTACTAAATATTTTTGCCTTGTTTCTTTTCACATGGCATTCAGAGAAGCTTTTCCCACTGATAGTATTTATATTCCTTTCCTTTTTTTCAGAGTAACTATCAAAAGACCTAAGTCATTCCTCCTTATCAGGACTGAAACCCTAAACGCGATCCTTAGGGTCAGTTGGGTGTTAGGTGTCAGTTAGCAGCAGAGAGGCTGTGACTTGTGACTCCCACCCCCTGGCCACCTTTTAGGAAGAGCCTGCCCCAGAGGCAGGGGAGAGTTGAAGAAGTCAGCGAGCTAATCAAGATGTATCTCAAAATGGAAGTGGAAGTGACACCTTCCTAATTTAGCTGCTTTTATCTAGGCATGTCAGCTGGATCAAGAGACAGGAAATGGCCCCATGTTGATGCAAACTATCCTCTCAGCTGAACTAGCAGCTAGACAAACACAGCACTTAAAGGTGGCAGCCAGACTCACAGAGCTTTTAAAATGCCACTTTTCAGCTTTTTCAAAGGATTAGAAAAGAAGAAAAGGAAATAGCTGGTTCACCAGTTACAGAGAAGGAAACTGGTTTTCAGGCAGAAGATCAATTCTGAAGTTACTTTCAGGGCACCAGAAAGGGGTTTGTGTATTGAGCCTTGGAACTAGAAATGCCAATTTAGGGCCAGACTACAGTTCTTTTGGGCACATTGATTGTTGCCTTAAATTATGATATGCTTTATGTCACCACTTTTTGTTTAAGGGACTGTGTAATGTGACAAAACATTTAAGGTCAAGTAAGGAGTGTACTGTGTTCAAGTTATCTGCAGGCACTGCATCCTCTCTTTGCCTCATGCTATGGAAAGATATTCTGTGCATAGTACTTCGGCAGGACATAGGAACAGAATTTAGCAAAAGAAAAGAAAAAGAGAAAAAAAGACAAACCAAAAACAAACCAGCAAAGAGCACACATCAGCTTTTAAAACCTGACAAATCTAGGACAAAAAAATATTTCTTGTGGGTCATCTAGCAGACATTTTTTGCACATACCCTCCTTACCTGGGGACCTGTTACTCCCTCCCTAACACCCAGCTTTTAATTTTTCCCCACACTGGCTATTCTACCACTTCAGACATTAGCTGATGGCATCAGAGCAGCAGTGAAACTGGTATGCATCTCTCTGTGCAAGACTGGGAGTAAACAGATGGCGAATAAAGCACTTTCAGCTAAGTCCATTGACCATCAAGTCTACAAGCTCCTGTACCTGAGCAGATGTACATTAACACCAATGTCAGTGTAGCAAGGACAGTTTCCCTTTCCTGTCAGGCAGCAGAAACAGGCTCTGTAGGTGACAATTCAGAGCAGCAGGAACTGGTCTCCTTTGTACCCCCAATATCAAATGCTTAAAATAAATACAAAAGGAAAGGTGCACTCACAGAGGCCCATTTGGTGACCTGAACAGGTAACTATACCAGTATGGTTCCCTGCTCCTTGGAAAATACTATAGTGCAGTATCCAATTTACACACGATTCCTGGTCTTTACAATTCTCCTGAAAGTCTGAAAATATAGCTCTGCCAGCATAATTTTGAGCTCTCTAGCCATCAAGTGGGGCTGGGACTGTAGCTCTGTGTTGCTTATGATTCAAAGGAGGTGTTCCAAATCTACTCAGGTTATAGTAAATGAGTCTGTTACCAAGAAAGGAAAAATACAACTTTGCCATGCTACAGGGCCAGGGAGCTCCAAGCTACAGATAAAGCTCTAGCCCTAAAGCTGGGACTTTAACTCTTGTGTAGCCTGCACATACATGTGAGGTGTCTCAGGACTTCTTTCTGCTCCTCACATGATAATGTGCATGGCACCATGAAAGCACAGAACACACAGTCACACAGATGTCATGAGTCATAGGAAGAGGAAACACCATGGTCCTACTTGTTTGCCTCGTTTTCCAGGTCTTCCTATAGGTCCTCTGTGTCCTGGTACTCCAGATTGTCCCTTGGGGCCCATCTCTCCCTTGGTGGGTGTGGAGGGAAGGAAGCAAGATGTAAATACATGGTTAAACCTGCCTAATACAAGACAGCAGATGGACAGTGCTTTCATTCACATGATTCCTCTAGGAAACTCTAGCACCTTTTCTTTCTCAGAAATCCCAAATTAAAAGAAAGCATTTTAAAACAGACATAAAGTAAAAAACATGCCTTACAATTTTCCCACATATCCCTGAAATATCCCTTCTTAAAGAGAAGGTCAAATGGAGAGGGCAGAAACATGCTCAGAGACTTGGAGAGGTCAAGGCTAGCAAAACTCTCCAAACCCTTGGCAATATCTTGGTTTGCTGTTCAGATGAGCATGTAATGAAGATACTCAGAGAAAGGGAGGTGAATTCGCTCATCTACTAAGTTCCTTAGAAGCAACTATTATTTCTTTATCCTAATTTCAGAGATATGATGTGATTATGTCAAAAAATTGTCCTCCTTTAAGTTTTCCATAAGCCAACATCTTAATTTTGATTGGTTTTCAATTACAGAAAAACAACAACATAAAAACTGTTCAGAGTTATCACTGCTATTTATAGTAGAGCCATTTCAAGTCAGAGTATCAAGAAGGAAATATTTATTATCTTCAAGTGAATAAAATGCAAACGATCAGGGCAGTTAGGAATTTATAATCAAGAGTCTGGATATGTTAAACAGGAGGAAGAGTATAACGAAACCAATGATCTGGGGAAGAAAAAAGAGAAACTAACAGCAAACAGCTAAATCTGAGAGTTTTCTCCTGAGCTAAAAAGCCTAAAGAATTTGATCAAGTCAAAGCAGTGTTGGTCATTGAATCAAGCAAGACCTTCAATGTCTTACACTTTCCAGGAAGACCCTGAAGCCACTCACTGACCCTCTGTCAGCATTTAACACAACTCTGCAACACATCATGCCCACTTACTTTTTGTCCCAGCATTCCAGGGAAGCCTGTTTCTCCCTGCAATGTCAAAGGAGAAGAATCATCAGAAAATGTGTAGTGATCTTTGACACAGTACCACTTTCTTTAGGAGGAATTAAAACAAATGCTATGATATTGGTGAGCTAAAGCTCACAGCCATCTCAAAAAGAAAATTACCTGGTCTCCTTTGACTCCTTTGTCACCTCTGTCACCTCTGGAACCCTGGAGAGAGATATCATGGAAGCACCATGCTTAATTACTACCATTTCATGGAAAAACCAAAAGTATTTTTCCTACTTGAGGTGTTACTTGAAGTCAAGCAGAATACAGTTATATCTTCAGAGTGAGGTATTTGGTTCATTATTGGTATTATAACAGAATCAAGAGTAAGGCTTGTAGAAAAAAAGACTCCCCAGTTAATTACATTAAATACATGCTTTCCTGGACATAATACTTCCAAACTTGATTTTTTTCCCCAGTTGGCTTCATTTCCCCAGTTCAGGTCCAACTGTAAAGTCTTACAGTAAAAACTGTCTCCACACCATAGTGTGTGTCACCTAACTAAGCCAGACCAACAACTAAGGATTGTTAGAGTCACTCTACAGATAGGGAAACTGTAGTGAAATGCACTGTTCACATGACAGGGCATAAAATTCCCTTCTTCAGAGTCCCAGCCCAAGCCACAAGCCTGTGCTCCTTCTTGACACGTTTTCATTTCTCAGTGGGACCTTGAGACTTCATCAAAATTCAATCTCATTTCTACAGTTACTGGGTTTTTTTTCATAACAGTTTCCAAATATTAAATTACACATTATTTATTGTCACACTGACCTTTTCTCCTCTAGTTCCAGGAAAACCCTAAAGGGAATGAATGATAGATATATAAGTGCTTCTCTCTTTCAAGATCACCCAAGAAGCTGGACTTTCAAATTTTGAAGTGAAGAGAAAGAACAAAGCACAAATAATTAATTGCATCAACTTGTAAATGCAAATGAATATTTATAGCTCCTAAAATTGCACTGAAACAGAACAGTGAAATATGAATCAAAGGTGAGACAACTCAGCCCAAAAGCCAGTGTGTAAAAGCCAGTTAAAGCCAGCAGGTTTGATATTGCTTTAAAATTGAAACCAGGGAAATAAAATGTAACTGAAAGTGAATAAAGCCTGAGCTGTCACAATTAATAATCTAAAATAATTTTAGCAATAATCTTCCTCTTCTGCTTTCTTTGGTTGTTTGTTGTTATTGTTTTCCACCATGGAACATTCTTAAGTTATACTTAAGTAGTCTAATGTGAATATTAATATAAAACTGTTTCTGTTAGAGAAACATACAATAAACAACAGTGTCCAGCTCTTCTTTCCAGTCCTTTATTTGGATAAACTGATTACATAATTTTTTCCAAGTTCCTTAGAATGTTGTGGCTTAAATTTGTAAAAGCAGAGGTCTGTGCTATAGACAATGATGTGCAGATACTGGAACATTCAAACCAAATTGTGCTTATATCCAACTGTCAGTGCATAGGCCTAGTTTTAGTAGAGGACCAAAATGATCTCCACAGCCTTATGAGGTGGGTGGAAAACATTGCAGACATGATTTAATGCTGCAGATATGCTTAAGAACTCCATTGTTATAGTGGGATACAATTATATGTGAGTTTGCTTTTAAAATAAATTACAATAATTTATACCAAAGCATTTTTATGAAAAGCCAAAAACACAGCCAAGCTCAACCAGACAACATAAACTTGCTTGATGGAGAAGATATCTTTTTAGCTGTATTAGAAAGGATATCTCTTGATAAATGCTTTCCAGCAAATTCATGAGGGAAGCAGCTGTCAGCAGAGCATTAGAAACCAATGTCTGAAAATGCAGTGTTTGGTTAACAAACCTTGGAGCCCATTGGTCCTCTTGTACCTGGCAATCCCATCACACCCAACTCTCCCTTTTCACCCTAAAGGGGTCAATAAAGAGAGTTATTGATTGTGGCTCTCTGCCGAGGTCATGTTAGAATGTCTGACAGTTTGACGGTTCAGGTTTTGTGTCAAATAGTTGGGATAAATCTGATATTGGTATAGTACTGTAGTCAGAGGTGTACATTGCAGTGGTATCCTGCCTGAGTCCTCCTATGTTATGGTAATCTTCTGTTTGCATTTTCTTGTGTGAGTAACTTGTGCTTCAGTTTTGCCAAATGTTATTAAAGGAGAAATCACCATCAGCACTGCGTTCTTTTCTGTGTGAAAGTACATTGTCTCTACACATCATTTCCACTGAGTTGCAGAAAAGAGAGGTATTTTGCTGCATGCCTTATGGCTTGGGCAGGCATAGCGACTACCTTTATTGTTGTTCTGAATCATCCTGTGCTATACAGTCATTTGGAGCCAATAAATCATGAAAAACTTTACAACAACTTCTCTGGTTGCAGTCAGGTAATTATATCTAGCACGATGTACAGAGTAGACCCCCAGACATGTAGCAGGATAAATTTGGCACTCAATTCTCCTTCAGCTTTCACTGTCCTAGAAATGGAGAGGATTTTCATGTTGGCTACTGGCCCCAAAGAAGTTCAGAAAAGACTTGAAGAAACAAAGTAGGAGAAATAAGGACCAAACTAAGGCTGAGTCAAAGAAAGGGAAGACAAATAAAGAGATCCAGCTGAAGAAACAGCAGGCACAGGGGTGGATATGAGAAGAAAAATCCCCAAACAGCATCTTACTGAATATTTACAGCAAGAAAAGGATGCAGCAAATGTCTACAGTGAAAATGAGTATTGGAAGCCTGAGAAAATCAGAGATGGGGTGAAAGGAAAGGGAGGCACAACCAATGGAATTGAGCATAGAGACCTGCAGGTCTGTGTTCAACTAGAGCTTCCACTAACAGACAGGAAACCCATCTTTGTAAAGACCAGAAGAAGTGAAATGGTGAACCTATCTAAAGAACAGGAGACCAGTATGAGAGGAGACAATAAAAGCAGAGGAACTCAAATCAAACAGCAAGTAGGACTTGCAGTCAAACTATAGGAAAAAGCATTACTACTGAATGTGAGGGGTGCTTCTAGGAGTGTGATGAAAAAGCATAGTAATAGACAGAGTGGATTAAATCAAAATTAGGAAGACTGCATAAATAAAACTAAAGCCTATGTGAGGAAAGGTCAGGTGAATGAGTTTTTTGTCTGCTTTGATCTCTTCCTTCAATGTTTATGAAGGAAGGAGATGGTTGAACCTTCCCTCTGCCCTCATTGCTCCCACTGTAGGAAATCATAGTACACACTGCATTTGTGGGGGACACCATTTCCCATCCCACAGTTTGAAGTGAACATCAGTTTCTTCTAAGTACATACTCTCTTGTTGCTTGCCTACATTCCCACACACTGTATATGATGTCCTTCATCTAACATAGGCTGTGAAGATCTTGAAAGGTTGTTTCCCAACAAGAATTCGGAAGTCACCTACTATCAGTCTTGCAGTATCAAAAGCCACTGCACCACATCTTCTGAGATAAGGGCATCAACCTCCATAAAGCAAACAAAGACTCAAATATTTACTGGAAAATGCAGCTTCAAATTAAGCATTGTGTGCAGTCCTTTTGCCTAATGTGTATTGGATGGAAGAAACTCAAGTTACCCCAAAAGTCCCAGTAGAAACTCCATAAACCACAGTCCTGTGAAGAGCTGTATACCTTTTGCATAAGATAGTACTCATTAACGAACTGTCCTGAAACTTTTGTATAATAAATACAGATGAAGCAACTACACTGCGGTAGCAAAGAGCATTGTGTCATTTCCTCTGTTGTTGGTTAATAACAATAATAGGTATGTTTATTTGTATGGGAACAAACTTAAGAGATGTGATCAGCAATCCTCACGGTTTGTAATCTCTTTCCACTGACACCAGCCTGGTGTTTTCCCTCCGATGGCATGGGCTCACAGTACACCCTGAGGCAAAGAGATCCTCATAAAGAATAGTCATAATGATGATTAGCTTAGAAATACTGATTTGTGTGATTGTGAGACACTGGTGGCTATCAATGAGACTGCATTAGGTCGATTTTCAATTTCCCTTTGACTTGTTTAATTAACATAAGAAGTGCTACAAGGGTTGGGCTGAAGGTGGAGTAACTTAACCCTAGACTGGGCAGGTCTGTGCAGAACAGCGTAAGAAATGGGACAAGCACAGAGTGTCCATGCACTGCTACACCTTCCCAGCCTCCAGCAGATAGCTGTTTAGAGACTTCCCAAGACAACTGTTCTGTGCAGATTGTGATGTTGAACAGGTTATTCCATGTGAATTTTAGTCTTACCTTCGGTCCCACAGGTCCAGGCCATCCTACTGGTCCTGGCATCCCAGGGACGCCTGGGGGACCTGGTCTGCCCTTGAACGGAAAACATCGATTACAATGATTCATATAACACCATTCCTACATGCAGCCCTACATTACAGACAGGAGATAGAAAGAACTGCATGTAATTATATCAGCATGAATCTAATTCATGTTAAGAGTAGAACTAAACCTTTAACAAAGATATTCCTACTTTATTTACTATTTTTCTTATTCTAAATATTCCCATATTACTAGCTATAATTTCTCTTTGCTAAGTACTCTATCACTAGCAATAACTACATACATACAGTTATTTATCTGTTTTAATTACTGTCTATAAATCACTCGCAGTATCTCCTGAATTGCTGCAGGTTAGTGCTATTCTCCTGCTTTGCACTGCTTGATGATGTGATTAATATGAAATTGGCATCATAACATTTGGGGCTAAGAGCAAACTCCCCTGGGCCAGACAGGTTATAACAAGAGTTACACTGTTTTATTTCCAACCTGAGAGACTTCTCTTTTGGAACCTACTAGTTTTTGTCAGAAGAGTAAGCGCTCATTTACTGTTATTGAAGTTTGCACATTCTTGTAGGTTGGTGGGTTACTCTCTCCAAGACATTACTCTTTCGAATTGTTGCATTTATATAAAGAATATATTTGTTTACTGTAAGGCATTTGCAAATAGATTGAAGAAAATGACCTTTTCTGTTTATGTGTTTTGTATTTGTTTGAGTTACTGATTGGTAGCTGATGTCAAAACCCTTTGGGTATTATTAGAAAGGTGCTAAAATCCTTGGTATATTATTAGAAGGGTACTTCTTTTCCTGGTTAGTGACTACCCCCCGCATATCTCTGATTTCATCCTGCATTTCTGTCTTCTTTTAAAGTTAATTACATTAAATGGATGTACTTAGCGGCTGAGATAACGTATTCTGTTTCATCACATGTAGGGACACATATTTTTGACAATATATCACAGCTCATATGTCACCAAGCATAGAATTGTAGTCAGCACATTGCATTGGTGCCAAAATTCTGGAAGTGTAATCCTTAATGGTTATTCCTCCTTCGGGGTAATTGGCTGAGTCTTGTTTAGACTTTGGAGGAGTAAAAGGTTTGATTTTGCTTGGGGTTTTTTTGATACACCTTTTATGATAGCTCCAATACTCTGCTTCTCTTGTCTACAGAGACATAGTTCTGGTATTTCCCACTTTGTTTCACTTGTCTCCATGCTTTTACTGAGAAAAAACTTTGAATTCCAACCTGCTGGGGCAGCTCTCCCGCTCTGCACTGAGAACACCCTACCAACTACCCTGAGTACTAGTGCACAAACAGGTTAAACTTCAACATTAGCTAATTTTTATTCAACTGTTGTCTACATTCTTCTCTAGAAGCTGCTATGTGTCAAGTATTGGATGAGCTTCTGAGACAGCACCTTTGTTCATACCTTTCTTCCTGGCCTGCCAATCTCCCCCTGCCAGAGAAAGGAATATGTTATTCTTGTAGGCACCACATGAATCACAGTGGCTCATAAGTCAATGCATTTATATTTAAAAACAAACCCAAACAAAACATTGGGAATATCTTTGTGCTCAAGACTTTGCTAACTGATGTAAAATGAGAAGAATTACTTTATCAAAACTCCTTTGTCTTTCCTGTGTTCTCAGTCTCTACGGTCATCACCTTGTATAACAAAGCACATAACTGTGTGCCGAGCTTCAGGTATAAGATTCTTTTAGCATCATTATGGAGCAAATGCTTTGCAGATCTGAAAACATAACTTACCATATAGGCCAGTTTTAATACCTGAGGTGCCCCATACAATTCATACTGCATGGGAGAACTTTTAGATTAGGAAGATTGCTGACTTGTGCTTGCTTTAAGCATACCCTATACAGAGGTAGGTATCATGAGAAGCCACAAAAAATATTTCAAGACTGAAAATGAACACCGAAAGGCAAAGTTTTAAAATAGAGCTTCAAACCAATTCACAGCTTTACATTCAAACTAAAGAAAATACCCCTATCCATAAGGCTCACTAGACAGACAAGGAAAAAAGTGAACCCCCTCCCCTCCTTCTTTGCCCCTCAAAACCATATCAAACTCCATAACAACAGACACTTACTTTCTCCCCTTTTGGTCCCATTATTCCAGGAATTCCTTGTGGACCCTAGGGAGAAAAGTGAACACTATTATTAAACTGCATTAGTAAGGAGGCACTGCTGCTTGCCTTCCCTCAAACCTTGGCCCTGTGGGTGTCTCCTGGGTACAGTGTGAATCCATAAGTTTGAGGTGTTGGTTATTATGTTTGAACGTGGCCTCTAAATACCAGATCTGTGCCACTGCTGAATGGCAGGCTGGAGAGTTGGACTGACATGAGAAATTCAGGGGCATCTCATAGATGAAGAGGGTCAGCAAAAAAACCAGGCCTGGGGCAAATGAAAGATGAGAAGTTATCGGAGTCCCAAAGAATTAGCAACAACAAGGGCACGGAAACACTGCATCAGCTGGCAAAGGAGGTCAGCCAAAGGAGTGGTAAGGCAAGTAGCATAAAACATGCAGATGGGCTCTGCAGGGTGGGAAGGACATGGAGGGTTTCCACCACTTTTGAATTCTGAAGATACTTTGTTCTCCCAAATGAGGTTGATTCTCCTTTCAGGAGACTTCTTAATCCAGGAGACCTTGAACTTCTTCTCAGAAAAAAAACCTAAACCCAGCTTTGCTTCTACAATGCTTTGACTCATAGACCACCTTTTATATTTGAATGACTAAAGAAAAAAATCCCATGAGCCAGCATAGAGGAGCATTAGATTCACCATACAAATTGCTCACTCCAGGTTTCAACTCTGGCTGTCTTATACTGTCCAAAATGTGATGCAAATTGTTCATGAATAGGAGCAAAATGTACCCTCAAATGCAAATTACTCCAGCTATTTTAGTCAATAGAGTTATTCTAGGTTTTCAGTAGTGTAAATCAGAATGCATCCTATTAGATTCAGAGCCAAATTTTACCTTCTTTCTTTCATTTTACCTTCTTTCTTTCATTTTACCTTAGGTTACACATGGGAGGAATTATACTCGGAGTTATACCATTACAAATCTCCTTTTTCTGAAAAAGTGTTAAAATTCAGCTATTAATCAACAGTATGAGCTTCTCAAAGTCTTATGAAAGTCATGCAAGCCACAAGAGAAAAGAACTCAGAAGTATTTATTAGATGCCTTTTTGCAATGGCAGTATTTCTTTGCAGGTGGCCATTGTAATAAAAGTATTGCCCAGAGGATTGCTGGCTCTAGCATTGTCTCTTTACAAGACACAGTCCCTGAATTTATAATTAAAAATTCCAAAGCCATGTTATATCCACCCTACTGTCTGCCTTTGTGATAAAATCTGCCAGCCTGCTCTATTTAAAAATGTTCTTGGAGGGATCATAGGTCATTTGGTTACAAGATTAATATTATTTATAGCAGTGGACCTTGTAGAACAATAGAACTAACATTAATGTTCTTCCAATTTAAGTCAGAGGTAGAATTAAGAGGATTTTTTAATAAAAAAAGACCATCTAGACAAGACTGGAATGACAAAAGTTTCTTTCACATGTACAGTAACTCTGGATCATGGCCAACCACACTGCAGGGCTGTTTCATAATACAGAGAAGCCTTTTCTCAGCACAGGACTGGACAGACACTTCCCATCACTTCTTGACATACCTCATCACTCAGAAGCTAAATGAATCTGCTTCATCATCTCAGCAAAGATGAAATGGCAGGACAATAAAGACAAGGTTCACGGGGGTTGGATCAAGATGATCTTTAAGGTCTTTGCCAACCCAAACCATTCTATGATTCTATGAAAAGATTATGTAGCTTTCACCTTGCAACTTCTGAAGTACTGTCTTCTAAATAAGTAAACCAAACCTTTATGCTACATAACTGAATCTTTACTTTGATCCAAACCTTTACTTTTGTCCAGTTTTAAACTAGTGTTTGGGTGCTTTTTAACTTCTCAGGCTGCCAAAGTCTCAGTCACAGCTTTGGTGCATCAAAGGCTCCATTAGCTCTATCAGCTGTACTGTAATACACTGGCACTGATCATTGTTCCAAAGAACCAGGCACAGCACATAGATTGGGAGTGCCTGTGCCCCAGGAGAAACTGGAAGTACCTCTACACAAAAAGATTCATTTTTCTTTGGAGGGAACAAACTGGAATGGAAATGCAAATGGGCAATCTTCTCCACATTACAGGGATGTTCACAAAACCCTTCCCCCAGAGGTGGTCCAATGCCTCAGAAGAAGGTCAGGTTGGAAGGGGCTCTGAGCAACCTGATCTAGTTGAATATGTCCCTGTTCATTGTACAGGGGTTGACCTTTAAAGGTCCCTTCCAACCCAAACTATTCTGTGATTCTAAGATTTCTGACCTCCTTCTGAAGATTTATGAATGTATAAAGTGTAGAAAATGAGGTGTGAGGTCAAAAAGACTGGTCCAAGGCTACCCAGCAAGCCAGAGGTAGAGATATTGCAGGTCAAGCTAGGAGATCCCACTTCTGAATCCCACCCCACTTCCCTTTTAGAGCCCCTCCTTGTCTCTGATGTTTATTGCAGGTGTTTGCCTTCTCAGATATGAGCTCCACTAACATTCAAGTCCATTACACCTGTTGTGCATCCACTCCACAGGCTCTTGTCCTCACATAAAAGGACAACAGGGTCTAAATCGAAGGAAAAACTGACAAAGAGCCTCTGAAGGAAGTGACTACACCTCCAATATTTTTGATAGGTGCTACCCAGTGTAAAACTCCTCAAAAAAGAAGGGTGCACTTGAAACAGACTGAAGCATACAAGGCAGAGACGAAAACATAGGGTAAAAATCCTACATGACTTATGCAAAGTCATATCAAAATGCAATCAAGCCAGAACTTGGTATGACTATTAAGTGGTAAAGAGCATTTTCAGATGTTTTACAGCTTTGTAAGGACCTTGGAACAAGTGAGAGAATGATGTGGTTTAATTACAAATGCATCACTCACCTGGGGGCCAGGAGGCCCTGCAGGACAGTGTGACTCAGGAAGAGAGGAAGCCTGTATTATCCAGAGCTCACGACACAACTCTTTCATATCCAGGTCAAACAGATTCTATGAAACATAAAACATATGCGTGAACATGAAGCCCCACGTAGTCTGTTGGAAAAATGCATAAAAATCCAGCCACCACACACTATAGCCTCAAAAGAGCTCATTCACTCCCTTAGGGAGAAGCCTAGGGTTTGTCACAAGGTTATCTTCATGGATGCTTGAACATTAACACTTCAGCATAGCATCCTGCTCCATGCTCCTCTCACAGGGGCACATTGCAGCCAGGCTGCTGTGTGCCCCTCTGAGCCAGCATGGGACCCTTGCCTATTCTTAGACCTGACCCTGCCCTCTCTTTCCCACTTTGCAAGTAGCAGCTCCTCTCCAAGAATAGTGTCTTTGCTCTAATAATAGAGACTACATTCAGGGAGAGTATAGGCAGCGTGAACGTCGCTCCAGAAAATACTGACCCGTAGGCATTCATTCACTGCAGATCAGAGCCAGTGCCTTAAATGATCAGTGAATGTCTGATCTTCAGACTCTAAATTAAGCTTCTGTGAGTAAAATGCCTTATTTATGGCCTGTGACAAAAGTGATCTCCCCTGGAAACACACATGAACACTGAGCCAGAAACACTGGATTATCACATTTGATCTTCAGCTTTCAAGTAAAAGGCGATTTTGCAGAAAAGCTCTGACTGCAGACTGCAAAGCACAAACTGCTCACAGTGAATTCACATGGCTCCCACCCTGCTCATAATGACTGACTTTTAGTTCATGTTTTCATGGGGCAGATGGTGTGAGAGGTGATTTTATTGTGCTCAGGTTATTTTCTGGACTGCTTGCAGCAATCTCAGGGACCCTGGTCCCGACATCACAGGAGTACACCACAATCTAATGAGATTTTGTCTCTGGGTCTCCCTTCTGTGGAAATCAAAGCACAGGAGGGGAGGGGATGAGGAAGGGGGAGGCAACTAAGTTTTGGTCTGGAGTCTCTCTCTGAATTCAATCCTGATGTCTCTGAAGCCAACGGAGGATTTTATACTACTTTTTCTTGGGTTAAGTCTTGACTGACATCTTACTAATCATTATTTACATAACACTAGCAATAATTGCAGTATTTGTATATGGCGAATGAATAGTCAATTAAGAAATAGGAATTACTGAGTGGATATAAAAATTCTTACTATTGGGATGGAAGATATATTTGTGTTAATAGACCATGGCAGTAAGAGTAATTGGGCAAACTGCTATATCCTATACCCACAGTATCTTGTAGGTTGCATATGCTAACACGTGTATGGGTACACGTCACATAGAGCAGGTTTGTGCATAGGTGGGTGAGTGAAAACTGCATACCAGCAATTCAAACACACCTGTCTTTCTGCAAAATGAAATGGTGGGAATAGATTCTGTAGGAGGACTTCAGGACCTTCATTTCACCTACAGGGTAAGGCAAATGTGATGCAAAATAGGACATATACATAGTGTATACCCTGAAATCATTGTGCAGGATGGAAAATTGCCTTTCTCTCCTTATCTGGTTTATTGCAGTGCCATTTCTTTTACTTCAGGATTGCCTTACTCTAAAAAAGTCCCAAAAAGAGTAAGGAGAATATTTTAAGCCAATTAAATCAACTACCTGAACAAACCCAGCCTCATTCCATTTCTTGTTCTATTGGAGATTAACTTCAAGCCCCAGTCTGGGATGTTGATTGATTGTCCTAACAAAGCTGTATCAACACAGACAGGCAGGTTTGCTGAGCGATGCCATGAAGCAGGGTTTGAGAGGTTGCTTCAGTCTTTGTTACACATTAAAAGTCATGTAAAAAGTAGAGAAAGGCTCTTGGCCCACACTTACAGAGCTCCAGCTGTGCCTGAAGTATGGTGGTGGGAACATGGGAGGTGGAGGAGGGACGAGGAGGCAGCACGCTCTGCAGTTGAGCTGTTTCTTCTGTTCCAAACAAGGGAGATCTGTTCAATACAAATATTCATCTGTTGTCTTGAACAGCACAAATATTTCTTAGAGAATGCACAAGCATTTCTTACAGAATAAGAGAAGTTTCCATTCCACAGGATTTTCCTGCATCCTATGTGCATTGGTTGCAACACTGTAATCCAAGCAGGGATGTAAGAAACTGGGCAGACCCTCAAGTCTATAAGTTCCTCCTTGTGTTGAAGGCTATGTAGACTTTTCAGCTTTGAAACCGGCTGATTTTGGAAAATTTTGGATAGGTAACATTAGAAAATAATTCAGTATTTATTGTTTTCTCTCTCCTCTGTTCCAAAAGTGTATTAGAAATAGCATCTTCTGGACCCTGTTGCAGCCCATGTGCCACCAGGAAACACTCTGTGCTGTAGGCCACCAACCTTCCCTGTGAACTGAATTGCTTTAGGCACTTCTGTGGCAAGTGGGAAGTGGGAAGTTGTTCCACAGCACATTTGCTTGTATTTCCCCTGGGAATGCAACCAGGTTGCCTTATTTCTGATTCGTGCATCATGCCTAAGAATAAATACCCTGGGATCCAGCCTTAGCTGATAGTTTTGCCACCAACTGACTGGGTAAGACAGCACCTCAGTTGTGTTTGACAATGTGTTTAACCTTTTCTGAGAGGTAAACTTACATCAACAATATAAGAAGGTGTGACCAAAGATTCACAGAGGTAGGATATGAAGGTGATGTATTTATACCATGTAGGGCTTTTTTCTGAATCAATTTGCTTCTTGGGAAATACATATCTAATCAGGGTGGAGCCTTCTTCAGAGGCTTTGCCAAGGATAGCAAATATTTATTTAAGTCTGTTGGTTTCTTCCTCTGGCTAGTGGCAGCTGGAATGGATGTCTGTGAGCTGAGGGTGGCAGGGAGCCAAATACAATAGGAAGAAAAGCCCATGTTAAAGTATCTGGTATTAATAGAAAATCTCTAAATTAAGTTTCTAGGAAGACAAACCTGACAAAATTTCTAGATTTGTGTGCAAATCAACTGCAGGCTGGATATTAGTCACATCTCAAGGTAAGGGAAATCTTCTAAAGGACAGAGATACTTTCAAATGCCTCAGAAAATGCATTGTATCGGTTCCACCATCACATGTTAATGAGGATGACATTTTCTCAGTCCTGATGCACAAAGAGAGCTACCCAGAGTAGTGTGACTCAGCTACATACAGGGGTAGTTCATGTCATCCAGATATTTTTCCCTATCAAAACACTATTCACAGTGACACCTTTGAGACATGAGTCAAAGCCTGAAGGGGTCCATAAAGAAGACTCTTTCTCAGCTTTTCCTCACAAGTTTGACACTCAACTGAAAGCTTCAGTTTAAGAGAAAGACAGAAGATTTATGAAATAGAAAAGAGGTATATAATTTCATTTAAAGCTTTAAATACATACTGAAAACGCCAATGCCCTTTAAAATGTAGCAAAGGTTTGAGTTGTCTCCAGCTCTCATGAGCAATAAAATAAAAAGATATGAAGAGTTAAATTTTGTGTTTTCTTAACCTGAATTCAGTCGCTCTTACAGCTATACAGCTGTAGCTAAGTTCTTCAACTTCTGACATCTGTGGTTGTCTTAATTTGAGGACTGTATCTGAACATATTGCAATAGTGTATTATTAAAGCAATGGAAAACTTGAAATTTAGGAAGTTGTGAAGTGTGATTATTATTTTATTTTAGACCACATTCCAATTCTTTCTCAGTGTTACCTTATTCCATGATCTAGCTGAATTTCAATAGGATTATTATCATTCAACAAGAATAAGGATATCAAAGCTAGCCTGATGTG